GTACACACTACCCTCCCAGCCCCATTTGTGGAAATTCAATCGATTTATTGTTGTTTTTCCTGGCCCTTTCTGCTTTTAGGTGCTCTTATTTTGTTAATCCAGATCCGCTTGTTGTAATGCATTACTGCTGCTCTTAGTTGCTCGAGACTAGAAGTGGCAAACGGGCGGGTCGGGTCGGATATGGTTCAGGTCGAAAACGGGTAATGAAAAAACGGATCAATTATCCGACCCGACCCATATTTAATACGAATAAAAAACGGGTTAACTGGCGGATAATATGAGTTACCCATATTATCTATGACTCCTTGTATGTGGTCACTTTTGGGAGAATTCTTAGTATCTCTAACTTGAGAAACCCCAAATTTGAAGCTTTACAAATGTAAAAGTTAGGCTCATTGGTTACCCATTGGTTACTCATTGGTTATCCATTTTCTAAATGGATAATGTGGTTCTTATCCATATTTGACCCGTTTTTAAAAAGTTCATTATCCAACCCATTTTTTAGCGGATAATATGGGTGGTTAACTGTTTTCTTTGAACCATTTTGCCACCTCTACTCGAGACCATAAAAACCTTGAAAAGTTCAACTACCCACATGACTATACAAAAAATTGCCGCAAAACATTAAACAGAATGGCTTTTCATTTGTGTACAAATGTCAATTAAGACTTAAAAGCACATGCTCTAATAAAAATGAAATCCATGTATTAGATAGAGTTACTCGGTATCTGTGTTGGTGGGAGGTAGCAGTTAGCCTATGGAATTAGTCGAGGTGCGCGCATACTAGCCCGGACATCACAGTTATCCACAAAAATAGAAATCAACTAACCGAAACTCAGAAGAAGAAGTCTCTCTCTACTGAGTACGGCTCCCATAATGCAGATTGCTTTGAGATTCTCACTCCAATGTACAATTCTTTCATTCAATACCTCTAACCTCCAACTATTGTAATACAACAATGTTTCTTCTGCTTATAAGTCTGCACGTAAATTGTTTTCTGTGCCGTGTATGTTAATTCTATTTTTTTTACATGTAAATCAATATTGATGATTTATCATCCTTTTTGTTTCCTTCCTCCTCCTTTTTACTTACTTTTCTACCTGCATTTCATTCATTCCTCGCCTTAATCAATCTAAAATCCATGCAGGTCTTTGCTTTACTTACTTGGGCTTGTATTTAATGAAGGGACATGGTCAACCCGCTCTCCTATATCTTGTGCCATGCACACTAGGTATGACAAACTAATGACCACTTAGTTAAAGTTGATGTTTAGTTTTTCATCGTTTTAAAACCTTTATTGTCTAGGAACATGCGTGGTACTGGGTTTGGTGAGACGCGAACTGAAAGACCTTTGGAACAATAGCGATGAATCAAAACAAATGGCTGAAGAACGTCTGGGAAGCACGCGTCTTGGAAGCGCTTGATACAGCTTTCGAAAGTTTATTGCATGGGCATGAAGAATATAAAGGTGACAAAACACAAGCCATTTGGAAAAAGCTGTTCATATATAGAATTTTAAAATTTTCAAGAAGAATGCCTTTCTTTCTTGCCTTTTTATGTATAATCATTCATCCCTTTTATTGTTTAACATCCAATTTCAGTACAGCTTTACCTTGATTGTTATGTAACATCACAATAATGACATAACAGGGATAATGTTGTAAATCATTCAATTACTTCCAATAGTAAAAGTTCCCATTTTCTTGTAATTACGACTGAAATAGTTGAGAAGATCCATTTTCTTTTACTATTAGATGTTTCCGTCTCATATGCAAATCATTGTTATTTTCTTGAGCCGAGGGTATACCGGAAACAACCTCTTTGCTTTCTTAAAGGTAGGACACTACCCTCCCCAAGCCCAACTTTTAGGATTACACCGGGGTTTGTTTTTGTTGTATGCAAATCACTGTTTTGGCTATACAAACTTTTTCCACTTATGTCATGCAAAAGGCTATTGTGTGAATTCCAAAACGTTGATAGAGAAGCTCCACCAAAAATACCAGGGTAGTGTTGAGTTGCCACACTAAGGTGCTAAAGTTTCAAATTAAGAAATAATTGTGTTTTGGCGGAAGCGGAGCTTTGGAGCAACAGTAAGCTTGTCTCTGTGTGACCTATAACTCAAGGGTTCTAGCCATAGAAGCAACTACTAATGTTTGTAGTAATGTAGGTTGTCTACATCACATCCTTGGGGTGCAGCCTTTCCCGGACGTTTCGAACCTTGTGATCGGGTTGCCCTTTAATTGTGTTTTGGCTAAGCAAAAGAAAGTGAAAATAGCACGGACTAGCTAGTTTTGGGATTGCTAATTGAAAAATAGTCGGCGCTTGTAAAGTCATTGAAAAAGAATCACTATTTTGCTGAAATACGGAAAGTTCCAGCATAATATGATGTATTATAGAGTTCTTGCGTATGAACTTCCAGTAATTGGAACTCCAACACATTATGCTGAAATCTCATATGTAAAAAGTTCGAACTCCAACATATTATCCTGGAATATTTTCGCAATTTTAAGGGTGTTTCTGTTCAAATTTATCTTTACATAAAAAGTGACTGAATTTCGATTATTTTTTAAACTGTGATTATTTTTCAATTATTAATTGCAAATCTAACTATTTCTGATTTCCCTAAAAGAAAAAACCTCAAAAAACCCTCCTTAGCTTGAGCATCTTTTGTTAACATATTAAAATATGCTACCCAATTGAGTCCAGCTCACAAGTTGTTTTAAACGACAATGACAAAGGAACGTTGAGTTATAAATTGATTAAAATCAATCTGTATAACTCCTTAATTAAAATAATAGGTACACTATTTCAAGGATCGAGAATTCAAATATTCCAAAAGGCCAAACCCGGCCTTTAAGTTGGCCCGGCTTTTTATTTTGACACCCCAACTTAGATATGTTTTATTTTGACACTCTAACTCATGATCTCATGTGCCATTTAAACACAAAATGCTCATCAGTTAAATATATGAAGAGAGTGATCACACGCAGCTTATGTGGCAAAGTAACAAATGGAACAATGACATGTGGCAAATATACCCCTCTATTTTCAAATATGGTTTAAAAAAACAAAAATATTATATTAATTTTTTTTTCTATTTTTACAAAAAAAAAATCCAATTTTTTTTAAACTGATTTTTTTTAAAAAAATGAAAAAAATATTTTGTTAAAAATAATTTTTTCAGTTTTTAAAAAATGAAATTATTTGTTTTTCTGTTTTTACAAAAAAAAAATCCAGTTTTTTTTAAACTGATTTTTTTTTAAAACTAAAAAAATAAAAAAAAAATATTTTGTTAAAAATAATTTTTTAGTTTTTAAAAAACAAAACTATTTTGTTAAACAACGAAATTATTTTTTTTGCTTTTACAAAGAAAAAAATTCAGTTTATACAAAAACAAAATTTCAATTTTTATAAATTTTCAGTTTAAATTTTTTTTTTCAGTTAAAAATATTTTCTGTTATTTTTTTCAGTTAAATTTTTTCCAGTTTGTAAAAATAGAAAAAAATTGAATTTTGGCTAATCTTTCAGCTTTCCACGCGCCTAAAAGAGGTGTAAGTCACACAATATGACAAATCAGTGTTTTGTGTTTAAGTGGCACATGTGACTGGGAGTGGCAAACGTGCAGTCGAATATGGTTCGAGTAAAAAACGGGTAACGAAAAAACGGATCAATTATCCTACCCGACCCATATTTAATACGGATAAAAAACGAGTTAACCGGCGGATAATATGGGTTACCCATATTATCCAGGTATATGATCACTTTTGAAAAAATTCTTAGTTTTCCTAACTTGAGAAACCCCCAATTTGATGCTTTACAAATGTAAAAATTAGACTCATTGGTTACTCATGAATTACCCATTTTCTAAATGGATAATATGGTTTTTATCCATATTTGACCCGTTTTTAAATGGTTCATTATTTAACTTATTTTTTAGTGGATAATATGAGCGGTTAACTATTTTCTTTGAACCATTTTGCCGCCCCTACATATGACCATGAGTTAGAGTATCAAAACGGAACAAGTCTAAGTTGTGGTGCTAAAATAAAAAGTCAGGCCAACTTAAAGGGGCTGCTTATGAGGTTGGCCAGATTGAAAGAACACATATCACAATTATCTTATATTCTAGTCGTACCATTGGGCTACGCACAGCCATGTGATGGAGAGTTTTAAATTTTCATTAAATCTGAACTTAAGAGCCTGTTTGGCCAAACGGGAGAAATCTGCTTATTTTGAGAAGTGCTTTTTTCAAAAGTGCTTTTGAAAAAAGTACTTTTGGAGAGAAGCAGTTTGTGTTTGGCTAATCAGTCTGAAAATCACTTTTGAGAAATAATTTGTGTTGGCCAAACTTTTTAGAAAGTGCTTTTAAGTGTCAAATTACGAATAAGGGCATGAATAGATTTACTTAATAATTAACATTATAAGTAAATAAATAATCTCAAAATTTTGCTAATACATGCCGTAATTAAAAAAATCATTTTATTTAAGTAAAACATGAAAATAAAATTAAAAAGTACTTAATTCTTTTAATATAAGTTAAATATATTAAAATTCCTTCAACAAATATAAAGCATTCATCCCTAAAGTCATTATATATTAGAAAGTTTTCCTATAAATAAGAAGAAATATTTATAAATTAATATCCTAAGTATTATGTTTAAGGGTTATTTTGGTATATACTATATTTTGTTAGGGGTATTTTAGGTAAGAAGAAAAGTCAAAACTGCTTCTGCTTCTGCTTTTGGAAAGAAGCTACTTTTTTCTGCTTCTCTGAAACTGCTTCTACTTCTTCCCAAAAGCATTTTTTTCCCAAAATAAGCTTGGCCAAACACCTCAAGTTAGGAAAAAAAAGTACTTTTGGAAAAAAAAAAAGCACTTCTGGCCTCTTGATAAGCTTGGCCAAACATGCTCTAAGTTTGATAAACAAATTTATTTATTTAATTACATATTAATACTCCCATTATGGAGTATAATTATCACTCTCCTTTCCTATTCGTAGCTCCTAAATTTCTGTTTATCTTTTAGCCATAAAGTTAAAGAACCACAGCCATTGAAGCTCTGCCGAAGAGGAAGCTAGAAGATTAAAAGCACTTCGTATTATTTTCTGAATCATTATTAGGTACTCTAAATCTTCTTTACAACAATTATTAGTTGTTTTCAATTTCATTTCTTTTCTAGTTAATTAATCCTATGATACTCCCTCTCTCGACATAGGATTTCAACCTGGCCTTAGTTTCATTTAAGCTGACCCTGACACTACGGTTTCCGTCTGCCTAAATTTTGGGTGGACAAAGTAACCCGGTATTTATGTTGGTGGGAGGTAGCATATACCTAGCCTTAATTTTATTCCAACCGACCCTGACACCATCATTTCATCTGCCTAATCCTTGGTTTCAAAGTAACCCCATACCTGTGTTGGTGGGTGGTAGCAGATACCTGGATTTAATTTCATTCAAATTCACCCCGACGCCACCATTTTCATAAACTTAAACTTTGGTGGACAATTTTACCGCTATCTGTGTTGGTGGGAGATAGCATATATCAGACCTTAGTTTCATTCAAGCCGACCCTAACACCACCATTTCGATCTGCCTAACCCTTAGTGGACAAGGTAACCCAGTACCTATATTCAGTGGCGGAACCACATTGAAGCAAGGGTTGTCAAGCAACACCCCTTCGCCGGAAAATTACACTATTTTGCTAGATAATTTTTTTTCTTTTATGTATATTTACTATACGCCGACTACCCTTGACTTTTCGATGTATCTAATTATTCATATTTTGACGCCCCTTGATGAAAATTCTAGATCTGCCACTGCCTGTATTGGTGGGAAGTAGCAGATATACCTGACCTTACTTTCATTCAACCGGTCCCAGACACCACCGTTTTCATTTACCTAAACCTTGGTGGTCAAAGTAACCTAGTACCTGTATTGGTGGGATGCAGCAGATACCTGGCCTTAGTTTTATTCAAGCTGACCCTGAAACCACCGTTTCCATCTGCCTAAACTTTGGTGGACAAATGTTGGTGGGAAGTAGCAGATATACCTGGCCTTAGTTTCATTCAAGCGGTCCATGACACCACCGTTTCCATTTACCTAAACCTTGGTGGACAAAGTAACCCGGTACCTGTATTGGTGGGAGGTAACAAATATCTGGCCTTAGTTTCATTCAAGCTGACTCTGAAACCACCGTTTCCATCTGCCTAAACTTTAGTGGACAAAGTAATTTGGTACCTATGTTGGTGGGAAGTAGCAGATATACTTGGCCTTAGTTTCATTCAAGCGATCTGTGACACCACCGTTTCCATTTACCTAAACCTTGGTGGACAAAGTAAACTGGTACCTGTATTGGTGGGAGGTAGCAGATACCTGGCCTTAGTTTCATTCAAGCTGACCCTGAAGCCACCGTTATCATCTGCCTAAACCTTGGTAGACAAAGTAACCCGGTACCTATGTTGGTGGGAGGTAGTAGATAAATGTGTTTAGTTTCATTCAAGCTGAGCCTGACACCATTGTTTCTATCTACCTAAACCTTGGTAGACAAAATAACCCGGTACCTGTATTGGTGGGAGGTAGCAGATATCTGGCGTTAGTTTCGTTCAAGGTGACCCTAAAACCACCGTTTCAATCTACCTAAAACTTGGTGGACATAGTATTTGGCACCTGTGTTAGTGGGAGGTTGTAGATACTTGACCTTAGTTTCATTCAAGCTGACCATGATACCACCGTCATAAAAAAAATTATTCTTTCGATTTCTAGGTCTAGTAGACTATTAACCTTTGATTTCTTTGTCAATTTATCAAATTGTATGACGAGCAACCAGTTCTAACATAGTTATATTTACTTCCAACAGCAGTATAAGACCGAGCTAATTGACATGAAGAACGTTCCGACTAGTCAAGAAACTCCTGCTCATGCAATGGCTTCCACCCAATGTAGTCATCCATCAATTGATGAGGAACCTGTTGGTTTTGAGGATGACGCAGAAAGTATAATTCAACAGCTGACTGAAGGAACAAAGGAGCTAGACATTGTCTCGATTGTTGGAATGCCTGGAATCGGCAAAACAACTTTGGCTAGAAAGGTGTTCAATCATTTTATTGATAGTAGACACTTTGACGTTCGAGCATGGTGCTCTATTTCCAAAGACTATAGTTTGAGGAAGATGTTCTCTGAGATTCTTAAACAAGCTATAGGCGATACAGATGGTATGAGAGATGAAGACATGCCCGACAAGTTGCGCAAGAGTATAATGCGCAAGAGATATCTTATTATATTAGATGATATATGGGAAGTTAAGGCATGGGAAGAGTTGCGATTGTCTTTCCCACAGGATGAAAATGGAAGCAGAATACTGGTAACAACTCGAGATGAAGAATTGGCTAGGCAGCTTAAGCACCATAGTAATCCATATCCTCTTAGATTTCTCACAGTGGATGAGAGTTGGGAATTACTCCAGAAGAAAGTATTTCAAGGAGAGATCTGTCCCCCTGAGCTACTCAGAGCAGGACAACGAGTTGCCAAAAACTGCAAAGGATTACCTCTTGTGATCGTCTTGATTGCTGGAATTATTGAAGAGAAAAGGCAAGCATCTTTATGGCTTGAGGTCGCAAATGATTTAAGTTCCCATGCGTTAGAAGAGCAAAGCATGAAGATAATAGAGTCAAGTTACGACCATTTGGAAGACCATTTAAAAGCTTGCCTTCTTTACATGGGATTGTTTCCAGAAGACTACACATTTCCGGTGTCCGACTTGCTAAAATTATGGATAGCTGAAAGCTTTGTACAGAACATAGACACAGAGAAATGTATGGAGGAAGCTTCTAAAATTTGCTTGAATGATCTAGTGAACAGAAGCCTTGTAGTGGTTACTAAAAGGAGAGATAACGGTGAGATGAAGTATTGCACTATTCATGATGTAGTGCGTGAGTTTTGCTTGAGAAAACTTACAAAAGAAGAGTTTATGCAGCACATAGTCCCGTTCGATCCATACCAACCTTTAGATGCAAAGGAACCTCGGTTATGCATGTATGTCCATGACGATCTTGTCAAGCAATTGGTGCAGTGTGAATATTCGTTGGATAAGATTCCAATGTTGGCAGGCTTGAACGGAGGGAAGTCTTTGACTCGATGTCAAAGATCTGTCGAGTTTATTGCTCATCCAACATTCTGTCCATGGGACCATACAAGTCTTTTCTCTTTACTTGATAACTTTAGACTTATTCGGGTGTTGAATTTGTTGGATATCTACTTGGAAAGTTGTTGGGATATGGCAATGCAAGCAGTACCTTACTTGAGGTATCTTGCAATTTTTACCAAGAGATTTGATTTTCGGTGGATATCACACCTACTTGATCTACAAACCTTGGTGGTGCGGAAAGATTCAAGTAACCATATACTTAAGACATCACCTGCTATCTGGAAAATGCACAAACTAAGGCATCTGGATATACAGGACTTTTCCTTCACATGGGAAGACAAAGATAGAATAATTTTTGAAGAATCTTCAGAAACTGTCTTACCGAGCTTGAAGACTTTTGGCAAGTGTTGGATATACTTAGCTGATATGACTCCAGAGTTCTGGTGGAGATTTCCAAATATTGAACAACTCAACCTTCACTTTGTTGAACCCCTACATTATTCCATTAATGCCAAACCAGAAGTTGATATCTTGAATTTTGAACAACTCCCACTCCAATCTCTCGAAATCCATTTCTCAACCTACATATCCATTGGATTGAGCGACTGTGTTATCTTCCCTTCAAATTTAAAGGATTTGTCCCTTCACAGTATTTTCCTAACAGATAAATTTGTTTCAAATATTGCAAGACTGCAAAATCTTGAGAGACTGAAACTAAATAGGATATACTTCAGGCCCAAGGGTAGAGGATATAGCAGATGTTGGGATGTTAGTAATTACAAGTTTCAAGCACTCAAAGTGTTGAAACTACACTTTGTTACTATGACAGAATGGTGCTCTTCAGATACATCCTTTCCTGTGCTTGAGAAATTAGTTATAGATTACTGTTGGCGGCTTCAAGATATCCCTTCTAGCTTTGTCGATATCCCAACACTGAAGTTGATTAAACTGAGTTATTGCAGCAAGTCACTTCAGGATTCAGCTCTCAACATTAAAAAACAAGTTGAAGAGTTCACAGGATGTGACAGTCTCCAAGTTCATGCCCCGTATCGTTAAATAAAGGTAAGACAGCCCGGTGCACTAAGTTGCCGCTTTGCTCGGGTCCGGGGAAGGACCGGACCACAAGGATTCATCGTTAAATAAAGGTAACTGATTTCAAAATTATGATACACGTGCAAGAAGAAACAAGCTCTGTCCTCAGCTTTTCTGCACCTCTGACATGAAAAAACATTAAGGAGTCGTTTTGTAGGGTGTATAAGAATAATGTTGAATAAGTTATATTAGTAATGCATGTGTTAGTAATGCAAGCGTTAGTTATGCAGAGATTATTTTTTATCCAAGGTTTGTTGTGGTGCATTAAAAATTATAATTTATTGCATATTTTTTTAAGAAAATTAGTTGCTTACAAAGATGTCTTCCTTATTCTTTAGCTTTAGTGGACTTTAAGAATAATTTTATCTTTAACCATGCTAATGCATGCATTAATAGACTAGATATTGCTAATACCATCGTTTGCTATGCACTTTATCCCTTTCAATTTAGATGAGGTAGTTTGACTCGACACGCATTTTAAGAAAAAAATGAGTCTTTTGAACCTTGTGGTCTTAAACGCGGAAGGGGTAAAAATTTTGTGGGGCCATGACATTTATGTGGTTATAAAAATGTTTCATTAAGGGTAAAATAGTAAAATGAAGAGTTTAAAGTTAAATTATTTTCAATTGTAGAAATGTATCATTCTTTTATTGTTTACCATCCAATTTCAGTACAACTTTACCTTGATTGTTATGTAACATCACAATAATCACAAAACAGGGAGAATGTTGTAACTCATTCAATTACTTCCAATAGTAAAAATTTCCATTTTCTTGTAATTAATATTGAGATAGTAGAGAAGATCCATTTTCTTTTACTATTAGATGTTTCCGTTTCATATGCAAATTACTATTATTTTTCTTGAGCCGAGGGTATACCGGAAACAACTTTTCTGCCTTCTTAAAGGTAGGGCAACCCGCATTGTTAGAGTATTATAGCAACCGAAACCCGCAACTAGCTTTTTCTGGTGTGCGTGCCGGCCCGCACCATCACTCTGTCATCTCCATACTCGTCCCGATATTATGCCGGAATGCTAGTGTATTATGCTGGAGTATTTTTTCGGATTTTGAACAATGTTTTCGTTTAGATTTATCTTTATATGAAGATTGACTAAATTTCAATTACTTTTGTAACTGTGGCTGTTTTTGATTGACCACTCATAAATCTGGCTATTTTTGAATTTCTCCCTCCACATGATCCATTGTCACGATCCACGGGTCAATTTCCGTGATTCACTGTATGCAACCCACATTGTTAAAGTATTATGGCAACCGAAACCCGCAACTTGCTTCTTCTTGTATGCGTGCCGGCCCGTACCATCACTCTGTCATCTCCATACTCGTCCAGATATTATGCTGGAACTCTAGTATATTATACTAGAGTATTTTTTCGAATTTTGAACAATGTTTGTTTTAGTTCGGATTTATCTTTACATGAAAAGTGGCTAAATTTCGATTGCTTTTGAAACTGTGGCTATTTTTGAATGACCACTTGTAAATCTGGCTATTTTTGAATTTCTCCCTCCAAGTGATCCATTGTCACGATCCACGGGTCAATTTTCGTGATTCACTGTGTGCAACCCGCATTGTTAGAGTATTATTGCAACCGAAACCCGCAACTAGCTTCTTCTTGTGTGTGTGCTGGCCCGCACCATCACTCTGTCATTTCCATACTCGTCCCGATATTATGCTGGAACTCTAGTATATTATGCTGGAGTATTTTTTCGGATTTTGGACAGTGTTTTCATTCTTTACATGAAAAGTGGCTAAATTTCGATTACTTCTGAAACTGTAACTATTTTTGAATGCCCACCTCGTAAATCTGGCTATTTTTGAATTTCTCCCTCCACATGATCCATTATCTCGATCCACAGGTCAATTTCCGTGATTCACTGTGTGCAACCCGCATTGTTAGAGTATTATGGCAACCAAAACCCGCAACTAGCTTCTTCTTGTGTGCGTGCCGGCCCGCACCATCACTCTATCATCTCTATACTCGTCCCGCTGAACCTGGGCTCTGGTACTAGTTGTTCGACCAAAACGGCCCAATAATATTCTTAACATGGTGTGCTATTGTCCGTTTTGGGCAAAGCCGCACGAGTTTTTCCAAAAGGCCTCACACCATTAAGAGATCTCTACACATTATATGTAGGCTCCCAATTTTTTCAGCTACCAATGTGGGACTTTGTTCGCACACCCAACAGTTTCCAAATATTGAAGAACTCAAGCTCTATTTTGTTGAACCTGAAGTTAAAAATGTACCTGCACCGGAATTTCATATGCCTATTCTTGAAGAACTCCCATTTCAATCTCGGTTTATCGTGGTGCAGGAAATCAAGGTACGAATCGATTGAATGGGGCAGCTGTATTGTCTTCCCTTCAAATCTATAGGATTTGTTCCTGCACTTCATCAACATAACAGAAAAACTTGTTTCAAATATTGCAAGACTGCGAAACCTTGAGATACTTGAACTATGTAGTGTAGACTTGAACTGGAGAAACTTGTCATACGTAGTTGTACTATTCATGAGCTTCCTTCTATCTTTGTGGATATTCCAACACTAAAGTTGATTAAACTGATTCGCTGCAGCAAGTATCTTACGGATTCAGGTCTGAACATTAAAAACGAAGTAGAAGAGATGGCAGGATGTGACAGTCTCCAAGTTCATGTCTTGAAGTAGGGTTATTCAGACTTATTGAGCGCAGTTATTCATGTGGATTTGGTTCAAGATACCTGCTAATGAAATGGAGAATAGAGCCATAGACTAGTGTCTTAGTGAAAATAAGCATAGTGAAAATTGTAATTGATCACAAATTTTCAAAAATGAAAGTGATCATACACTTTTTCTACATCTAACTTCAAAGTCGCGTCTCTATGTTTTTCATTGACATATCATATAGGAGTACATCTTTTAATCTCCATTCTCATGTGCAAGCATTCACATGTCTCGTTCCGTTGTTACTTGCCATCAGTAATTACGTAGTTTGCTAGCTGTACTTCGTTTATATTCTCGTTTGCTGCCTTGGAATTAGTTTTCTACATATGTTATCTTGCTATTACTTGTTATCGGTACCTCTTTCATATTCTCTATTGCTATCTTCGATTTAGTTTTCTAATTATTTGTCTTGCCATTACTTGCTATCAGGGCTTCTCTCCCCTTCTTTAGCCGATGGTCTATCAGAAACAGTCTCTCTGCCCTTCCAGGGTAGGGGTAAGGCTGCGTACATCCTAACCCCCTAGACCTCAATTGTGGGATATATACCGGGTGATTGTTGTTGTTGTTGTTGTTGTTCTCATGTGCAAGCATGACATTCTCAAATAAATTGACACACCTCAAACTCATTGTTATTCTCCATAACCAATATTTTTCCAACAGGTTTTTGCTCAATTTCATAGGACTCTTATGATCATTGCAAAGGTAACACCTATTGGGACCGCCAGATCATAAGTTTAGCTTTTCCCTTTACTTGAGAACTTTGGACTTGTCCAAGGTGTTGCATTTGTTGGGATATCTACTTGGGAAATTCTTGGGCTAGGGAAATACAAGCAGTAACTCACTTGAGGTATCTTGCAATATAAAAAAGGGCAGTCCGGTGCACTAAGCTCCCACTATCTGCGAGGTTCGGGGAAGAGTCGGACCACAAGAGTCTATTGTAAGCAGCCTTACCCTACATTTCTGTAAGAGGCTGTTTCCTCGGCTTGAACGCGTGACTTCCTGGTCACATGACAGCAATTTTACCCTACATTCAAGTCTTGCAATATGGACCGAAGAATTTGATTTCCAGTGCGTATCACGCTTACTCGATCTAAAAACTTTGCTGGTGTCGACGAGGGATTCTTATGCAGTATCGCAGACATCACCTGCTATTTGGAAAATGCAGAAACTAAGGCATGTGGAAGTAGAGGGTTTGTACATAAAATGGAAGGAAGACAATGATGGAGCAATTTTGGAAGAATCTTCAGAAAGTGTGCTACCGAATTTGAAGACTTTTTGGTGCTTAATTATGGACTTGGGTAGGTTAATCACTCCGAACTTTTGGTGGAGATTTCCAAATATTGAAGATCTCAAGCTCCAAATAATTATCCGAAATCAAGGAAATAAAACCATCAAATTATGTTTTGTTCTGAATTTTGAAGAACTCCCAATTCAATCTCTTCTCTAGGGTAGAGCTAAGGTCTGCGTACTCACTATCCTCCCCAAATCCCACTTGTGGATTTCACTGGGTTGTTATTGTTGTCCAAGTTCAATCTCTCACTATGAGTCTCCAAATCCCGGAGGATTGCCTTCACATATACATTAAATGGAGCAACTATCTTGTCTTCCCTCCAAGCTTCATCTTTGAGAGGGAAATAGCCTGGATAACCAGCTAAGGCCCCTAAATGATCGCTGATTTGCACCTTTTTGACTTTATGCTAAAGGAAAAACCTGTTTCAGAAATCGTAAGACTGCTAAACCTTGAAAGATTTACACTTTTTTCGCCATACTTCAAGGATCAATATTATTATAAGGTCCTGAACAGAGGATGTAGCAGATGGGATATCAATGATTTTTGGATGGCTTTTTAGAAAATTATCATTAAGGCAAACGAGGCAACTTTTTTACATTATGCGCACTGTGATATATATAGCATTATAGGATCTTCCAAAAAAAAACTTGCAAATAACAACAACCCAGTGTAATCCCACAACTGGAGTCTGGGGAGGATAGTGCATACGCAGACCTTACCCCTACCTGAGGGGGTAGAGAGGGTGTTTTCAAAAGACCCTCGTCTCAAGAAGACGAAGAGAGACAATAAATCAGTACTATCAATAAAAATCACAGAAACATTAACAACAAGATAAGGGCTTCCAAAAAAGAGAACTTATCTTATCAAAATCATTAATTGGTACAACATTTTGTCATGACATGATCTATTGAGTTTTTCTCTATCTTGCTTTTATTCTTCATAATTTTTTCCTCCACTTTCTCAGTTGCAGATTAAGCTTTTGCAACAGCCTTCATTATGCTATGTTCTTTGGATCAAGGAGAAATCCATAGCAGCTAAAACATTAATGTCGTCTTCTTATTTCTGTTATTCACCAAAGCTACATAGATACATAGACGCGCGAGAGGAAATGTTTTGTCTTGTGGATTGCTTGTTTCTGCATTATATCCAGGTTAGCAATTGCATCATCATCTCCAAGCTAATATGTGTAGGACTTTATCCCTTTGATTTTTCCACATTCGATTTCGCTGCAGTTTACCTTGCCTTTTATGTAACATAACTATATATATGAGCACAGAACAGGGAGAATGTTGTTACTCATTAAATTACTTTGTTCCCATTTAATTTCCTTTTAATAGTAGAAATAGTAGAGAAGTTCCATTTTCTATTGGCAAATCAATGTTTGGCTGTCTTCTATGATGTGAGGTCATTTGCTTTAAGGCTGAAAGCACTTTCTTTATTTTCAAGTAAACATTTCAAACTCCTTGAGCAAATTTTCGTGTGTATTTGTATATCTTCAGACATATCAATTAATGAAAAATATTTTTGTCTAAGCTTTTTCCATGCCGGACTAGTAGTAAAGTGGGCAAGTAGTAGATAGAGAACACACTAGTTATATTCACAT